GAGATCCGCTGTACAACATTGGGGGACATTAATCATGATATGTTGCGCACTTACATTTTTACAAACAGGGTAGATACATAGATATCATGTTGTGTTCTCATCACTATGAAAAAAAAAAAGGGCCAAAAATTCTTTCCTTCTAAGAGTTTTATTGTTTTAGCTCTTATATTTATGTCCAATCTGTTGTTAAGACTTATTCATTAAACTTACCACACTATGTGTCATGATGGATGTTAACTAAAATTGTGGTAATCATTGCATAATATTGACATATATTAAACCATTATGCTATACACCTAAAACGAATACAGTGTTACATATCAATTACATATCAACTTAAAAAATTAAACATCATTTCAGATAATGTATTTTTTTAGTTCAAAAATTTTCATTTGATTTTTACAGTTTTCATGTTTCTGCTGAGATTTTCTAATTATGTTCCCTTACTATGTTCATGATTCTTCATATCTTTGATCATGTTTATAACAACTGCTTTGAAGTTCTTGTGTGCTTATTCCAACATCTCCTTCATTTCTGTGTTTATGTCTATTAACTGATTTTTCCTTTGGCTATCGATAAATTTTCCTGCTTATTTGCATGTATGTCTACCAGTTTTTCATTGTGGATGCTATGTTGTTCAGTTTCTGGGTTTTCCATTGGAAGATAGAGTTTTATTTTGGCATTTGGTTAATTTACTTTTGTGGACCAGCTCAGTTTTACTCTTTGCTAGGATGGGTCTGGAGTTGTCTTTATTCTGCAGTTGCAATCACCCTTCCCTTAAGATATAACCTTTTGGGGCCAGTACTGAATGCCATGGGTGCTCAATGCCTTAAGCATTCTCCCCCTGGTTAGTTAGAACTTGAATAACTGCTAGCACTGTGTGACGCCCAGAATCCCATCCAGCTCACAGCTTTCTGGAGTTGTTCTCTGCCTGGCCTCAGGAAGGTTTGCCCTGCACATGTACAGCTTAGTATTCAGCCAAGGACTCAATGAGATGCTCACTGAGATTTCTGGAGCTTATTTTCTCTGCAGATCTCTCTTCCCTGGTATTTTGCCCTGCACATTCCAGCCAAATTTTCAACCCTGAACTTTGCACTCTTCTTCTAGACTTGCTCTGCTTTGTTTGGTTTCTGCCTCTCTGGAAGTGCCTCTGGTTAGAAGTCTAGGTTGATTGTTGGGATACCTAAGGTATTTACCCTGTCTCAGGGATCACAGTCCTGTGACCAGGCTGTTGTCCAACTTCTTTTTTTTAAAATATATTTTATTGATTTTTTTACAGAGAGGAAGGGAGAGAGATAGAGAGTTAGAAACATCGATGAGAGAGAAACATTGATCAGCTGCCTCCTGCACATCTCCCACGGGAGATGTGCCCGCAACCCAGGTACATGCCCTTGACCGGAATCGAACCTGGGACCCTTCAGTCCGCAGGCCGACGCTCTATCCACTGAGCCAAACCGGTTTCGGCTGTTGTCCAACTTCTTAAAAACAGTTTTCTAAAGTTTTGTCCAGTTTGTAGCTTTTTATGGTGATAAGTCCACTCTGGTACTAACTGCTATGTCTGCAAGCAGAGGTCCACATTGCCTTGTAATTTTTAAATCATATGTATGGAAATTGAGAATTATATACTCTGTGTTTCATAAAATGTAGAACAAAGAGGAACAGACATTCATATCATTCTTGTTTGAATCAACATTTATATAAAAGTTTTAATTTATTTTTGTCATTGAATAGAGGAATAGGTAGAGAAATGTGTTTGGTGAAATGCTTAGGAATAATACTGGAACACACACTTCCTTATTCTTCTATCTGATAAAGGATGATGGTAAAATAGCAGAGCCTTTTAAGATAGGAAAAACAATATTCTGAATACCTTGGGTTTGCAGCAAATCTATATGTTGTATAAATTATGTTGTAAATTCTCCCACTATTTTGTAAATCTAAATGTAGAAATAAAATCTTAACTAAATTCTAAATTAGAACTTTAATAGTTATATCAATTTGTTGACGATTTTTGTGACTTTTTCATGCTAAATTATAAAAGTTACATTTAATTTACTTCATTTTTCTCATACACCTTTAAACATACCTTAGTGAAAATTGTGATTAAAGAGCACATCTTGGACTAGGAAAATATATTTTTGGTTGTAGCAATTATTTTACCTGAATGAGAATAGTCTATAACTGGGTTCTCTGTCATTCCAGAATGCTGAAGCTTGGAACAATTTATCAACTTCCTATATCCGATTAAAACAAAAGTAAGTACCTCAGACAAATATGAAAAACTTTGCTTCCAAATAAATGAATGAGATTTTCTTCAACTGAATACTGAGGCATTGTGCCTTATAGCATTTGACTTCTAAATGTAGTTTATTTCTTGAAAACATTTAATGTGTAATAAAATAAGAAATATTATTTGAAATCTTTACTTGCTACTGAAGTTTTACATCCTAAACTTCCTTACATGAGAAAAGCAAGCATGCCTTCAGTTGGTCAATTCAATTGAAAGATTCTTATTGATTACTTGCTGTGTACTAGACATGATTGAGAAATGGAAATACGAACCAATGTCTTTAGGGAGTGTAGGTGTAAAAAAATAAAATATTATGCCATATTATTAAAAATTGATTAATAATGTAGGTAGTATGTGGTAAATATTAACTGAGAAATACAAAGAGGATTATAATGTAGTGGGTGGTATTTGTACAACATGTATTCTGTGCCAGACATCTCAGAAGAGAGAAGGTGTACAACCCGAGTTCAGAAACGCTCCTGAGAGAGTATTGGAACCAAGCTAAACTTTGAAGAATGAGTAAAGGGCTCAGAGGAAAGCCATTTGGCCAGGGGGAATTGGATCCTATGCAGAGTAACAGGAGTGAAAGCTATGCCGGAGGAGAGAGGAAGAGAGAATCAGCTATGGGCTCCAGAATAAGGTTGAAAAGGTCATTTGGGGTCAGGTTGCAGTATGCTCTGATGATCTGACTAACAAGTTAAGATTATTCTGTTGGAAATTGGATGCCAAGATTTCAGTGGGGTAATTTCATGAAGAAGGAGCTTTTTGGGAAGATTTATCTGGTGGCAGTGTATGAGACTGGCTAGAGAGGAGACTGCGGGCTGGGAAACCAGTTAGGAGACAGCTGTTGTAACAATCCAGGCAGGAGATAACTAGGCTGGAAAAAGAAGGGGCAGGTGCCAGTTTATAAAGGGGACAACCAGATGGGCTTGTTGATTGGCGACAGAGAGCCCAGGAAAGGACAGAGACCAGGATTGCTGTTACCTGAGCTGCAATGAATGAATTAAAGGATGGATATATTTCTATTTTCATTTGGCCTTATTTTCAAACTTAATTTGGAGTCACAAGGTATTTCTAATGATATCATTAAGTCCACATTGCATTGAGATCATGAAATGCTTCCGCTGCTCTTGGATGACAGTCTACAAAAATAAAGGATTGTTTGTTCTACTATTCTCTTCAGAAAATAATATTATGTTCTTGATTGCAACTGATTGTGTTAAAACTCACCAGAGACCCTTTTGACTGAAAGCGAGGGTCGAGGGAAATCCCCGCCATAGTTGTAGAATGATCTCAGTGGGTTTTCCTAGTAACCCTGATAATTTAGCATGAGGATTTCTTAGGAGTTTTTAGACATTGTTTCTCAACTTCTTTTTGATGCTTTCTTGTCTGCATGCAGCTCCATGAATAGGTTTTGGTGTAAAAGTGGGATTTTAAGTTCAGAGGTAAATCATTCCTTCATTCTTAGCTTTTTATTCTTTTCTTTCTTTGCTGCTACTGCAGACAAGAGTAATTTTTGACTCAGGGGTAAATTATTACTGTTCTCTCAAAAGAATCCTATCCATGCCGTACAGTGACTCTTCAAGCTACTTGTCTATCCCTTTGCCATCGCAAGGTTCTTCATTAAAGTTCTTTTCTCTGTGTCATCCGATTCCTCTCGACATTAGGTCCCTTCCAGTCCCTTGGGAAATCTTTCCGTCTTCCTATACAACTTTCATCCTGCAGTATTCCTACCATGTGGCTTTGATAAGTGAATCCTGAACTGAAGTTCCTTCTAAAAAAGCCATATTTACCAAAAAAGAATTTCATTGCAAAAATTCTGAGGCCAGGAAATTACTGATAACATGGGCACACTTCTTTCCAATTCTTGTTTTATTTCTACCTGTTTTTTGTTTGTTTGTTTTTAATTTCATGCTTCTTTTAAAATTTTAAAAAATTTAGGGAAATTTGAGGTGGTTTGGGCCTCTAATTCTATTTATTACATGAATAATTAAGGACTGACAGTCCTCATCTATACTTTTTACACTTACCTAGTAGCTATGGTTTATTTAGCTGTGGTTATTCATATTGTTCTCTTTCAACTTGGACCTTCAATAGAGTGAAAGCTTTTAGAACTTTGCAAGAAGCCCTCAAGTGCAACTATGAACACTGGCAGATCTGGGAAAACTACATTCTCACTAGCGTTGATGTTGGGGAATTTTCAGAAGCCATTAAAGCTTATCACCGGCTCTTGGACTTAAGAGACAAATACAAAGATGTTCAGGTAGGATATTAATATTTTGTTATATTGGTTTTTGATTAAAGGATATAAATTGTTTCCTTGATTATAAATAGGAAAATTTTCAGTTTACACCAGGCCCTGTTAATAGCTCTTTTTAGAAGTATCATAGGATGCTGGTGGCAGTGTTTACTCCTCTGCAGGAATGGGCAGGATCACTTCATAGTGGGTAAGTAATCATTGAGGGAAAGTCTTGATGGCTAGTGATGGGCTCAGTCATATTTAGCTTCATTGCATATTTCTGTCATCAACTTTATGACAACTAGTCAGTGACGATTGATAGATTGTCTGGAATATTTTTATCTTGGCTAAAATAATTTAACTTAATTTGACTCTAAGTTCAGCAACAGGTGTCTTTCAAAAAAAAACCTCTGATATTCTTATGTTTGACACTACCTGACCCCATTCTATTTTAATTTGCTTTAAAATTCTTGTTGTCTATTCTTTTTCTACTTCTTTATAGATGTGATTATTGTTGTGTTAATTTGTGTGTGTGTGTAAACTCACACTCATTTTAATACAGACATAGGGTAAATTAGCTACGGATTATTCTTTTCCCCCCACTATTTGTAATGACTTTTTTCTCTGTCTTAATTTTGACTGATGCATAAATTAGTATAGCTCAGAAATGCTTTTCTATAATAGTTCATATCTAGATTATACATATTTTTATTAATCTATCATAAAACTAATTATAAGTAACTGCATAATTAGTTCCTGTTCAGTTTTTCAGTTTTCTGCTATTGTAAATAATGCCATGAATATCATTGTAGTCCTTGTATTTATTTATGCTTCTTTCCTCAGGGTAATTCTAATGTCGATTTGTTCTTTCCATCCTCCTTTCCACCCTCTTCTTCCTCCTTTGATAACTTGGCACTTGGGGAAAAGAATTGAAATATTGCATTATTATACCCCATTTGCTCTTTATAAATGGAAGGGAAGGGGATTAACATATATTGAGTGCTTACTGTGTCCTAGAACTTACATGGGTAACCTTTTAGAACATACAGTATTTGAGGAGGATACTGAATATTCCTCATTTTGCAGTAGATGACTGGTGACCCAGGGAGATTCTACTGCTTGACCAGTCACATAGCTGGCACCACGCTTAGGCAGGCCCGTTTTCTCCTTGTGTTGACTTAAAGTCTGTGGGAAGATTTATGTTAAAAAGCACATTTCCCCATCATATTAATGTGCATGTGAACTATAGCTAACAGAGTCTTTTTTTCAAATTGGTGTCAGATTTATATGTAATAAAATGCACAGATCTTAATTGTACATTTGCTGTGTTTTGACCAGGACATACTCTTATGCAACCACTCCCCAAAACAGATAGGAACATTGTCATCACAGAAGTTCTCACATGCCCCTTCCAGTCACTGAGCCCCCGCCCTCCCCTCAGCCACCACAGTTTCTGACTTCTGTCACCACAGTTCAACTTTGCTCTTTCTTGAATGTCATATAAATAGAATCTTGAGTGTCATATAAATACATATGTTATGTCTTCTGTATAGATGTTCTTGGTGTGGCTTTGTCTTTGGGGAAGGAGGGAGGTAGTGTAGACGTGGGTGGGGCAGGTTGCCAACAAACTGAAGTCCTGAAACAAGTGGTGGCTGAGCATTACCTGAAAGAAAAGGGGACGAGGAGCATGTTGACACAAATACTCTGTAGAATAGGATGGTCTCCATTTACCTGGCGCCGTGTCTGAGGCTCAGCAGGGGGAACAGTCAGGCCGATGTCTCACAGCTAACAGGTAGGAAAGCCGAGCCTCCGAGTCTGGCGTCAGGTCTGTTTACCCTAAAGCTTGTGTGTGTCTTCTCCACACGCTACGATTTTTTTTTCCCCCGAAGAAGTGAAAAAGAAAGTGTTTAACTGCCTATTGCACTCTGGTAGCCAAGGTGTGGGGGAGCAGGGGTCAGGGTTATCAGACCAGGAAACAGAGCCAGTTCTTTGGAGAAATCCAAGTGGAGCAGGGGGTTAGCCAAGCCGGGGAGGCGGGAAATGGCTCTGTGCCTGGCCTCGAGCCCTTCTAGATGCTTTTGTAACTGTACCTAAGGCAACCGATTCCTTCTTGCTTTGAAGGCCTCCAGGATTCTAAGGCCAACACCTTGTGCTTTCGGCCAAGATTTTGGTGAGACTTGGCCAAGGACTTCAAGGTTTGTGCTGGAGATAGTTACACTTCTTTTAGTGGAGACTCTTCAGCATTATATGAGAATTGCTTCTCCGTGTGAGAAAATGTCAGCTCTCTTCAGGGGCTGGTGGTGGTTCCCTGCCTTATTGTCTGCTAGCTGCATCCTCCAAGCTTGGGCTGTAAAGGAGGTGAGAATTAGGCTTAGGACAGAGAATGAAACAAAAGTTCTCTATCACTGAAATGAATTAGAGGTGCAGGTGAGGGACGCAGAAGTCATTATGGGGCATGAGTCATGTGACAGAGTACAGGGCTGTTTATACTGATGACAATGAAATCCCTCTAAGAATCCAGATTAAAGAAATATACTTAGAGTATTTTATGATATGCCAAATGAATTTCAAATGGACTAAATATATGCTAAATATGTTTCATCTCAGAAAAATTAGAAATAGAAGTGGATACTAACCAAATTTTCTAAACTTCGAAACAACAAAAAAAGAAAGCTTAAAGGAATTTTTATGACTTCATTAAAAAATATGTGACAAAAATATTTGTAACCAAGAGGAAGATAAAAGCCTAAGAATATCCTTGTTATATAAAGAGTTAACATCTGCTACAGGAATGAAATGTTAAATGGGATAGAAAAAAGGATTCAGGAACAGACTCAAGTAAGTGTGAGAATTTAGTTATAATAAGGATGGCATTTAAATCTGTGGGATAAAAGTGGAGTATTCAGTATGTATTGGAATAGTTGGCCAAGTATTTGGGACCAAAAATGGAAGCTCCGCGTCACTCCTTAAACCAAAGTAAACACAAATGGATTAAATATTTAAATTGAAATGCCTCGAGAAGCAGGATGATGTTGTAGGCAAGAGCATAGATTCTGGGGTTAGACAGCCTGGGCTTTTTGCCTCCCTCTGCCAGTCATGAGCTATATGACCTTGGGCCAGTTACCGCAACTACTTTGTTCTTTAATTTCATAAAATGGGGATGATGATAGTACTTGCCTCACAGGGTTGTTGTGAGGATTATATGACATAATGTATGTAAAGGGCTTGGTATAGTGCCTGGCACAAGTGTTATTTAAACGTTGCTATGCTGTCATCATCGTCATTATCATCATTAATGAAAAAGTAAAATCATAAAAGCACTGAAAGAAAGTATGGTAAATATTTTTTTAAGCTTAGGGGTGGAGGAAACATTTTTAATCATGACACAATGCCATACTTCATTAAGGAGAGATTTGATATTTAAAATCTCTGCACATAAGGAAATAATGACTGACCAGTGAGTGGGGTGCTGGAGGTCACAGTCTTCCTAGGGGCAGGCTGTGATGTGACAGCCATTCATGTAGAGCTTCCTGCACTGAAACTGGAAGGTGATTAATAGAAGCCGGGTAAGTGACCTGGTGAGAGTTTATTTCAGTGTTTTCAATTTTGTCTTGTCCTTTCTACTTAGTTTCCTAGGGCTGCTGTAACAAATTACCACAAACTTGGTGTCTTCATACAACAGATATTTATTCTCTCCATTCAGTTCTGAAGGCTAGAATCCAAAATCAAGATGCTGAATGTGTCATTGCTCCCTCTGAAGGGTTCTCCCAGCGTCCGGTGGTTTCTGGCATTTCTTGGCTTATGGCGGCATCACTCTGTCTCTGCCTCCCTCTTCACCCACTTCTTCACCTCCTCCTCTGTGTCTCTGTGTGTCCTCCTTTATAAAAATACTAGTCATTGGCTTTAGGGCCCACCTAATCTAGTATGGCTTCAACCTGTCTAATTATTTGCAAAGACCCTATTTCCAAATAAAGTCACAGTCTGGGGTTCGGTATGGACAGGAATTTGGAGGACACTATTCTACTCACCACAACCACCATGCTCCTTTTTAGGGAGAATGCAGTCCCCCCTCTTTCCATTGTCCCCTCATGTAGCCTACAGTGAGGGGAGAAGATGTTGGACCAACAGTGAGATCCCAGAAAAAATCAAGTATTTTACTAATTTAGTGTGCTTCTTTTGTACATGTTAATTATTATTTTAATAGGCCATCACTTTCAAACCATGTTCATTCTTGAAATGTTTACAGAATGAGTATTTAAAATAAGTGGTGCATATTCACACATTTTCTTCTGTATTGTTACTTTCAGATTTAACTACACACGTGAGATTGTAATGTGAATTTATAGGCAGAGATAATGTTCCTTGTCCAAACAAAGAAAAAGCACAAGTGAATGTTCTCCTGTGGAGTTTTATCACTGTGTATAATTAGGACCATAAGCCTGAGCTCACCTTCCGAAGTGTTCACGGTCCGGAGGAGCCTAATACCTCAGCCACATCTCATGGCTGGATCAGAACGCATGAGCAAGATGACACACTGCTTGCATGTCTGTTAGCCACACTTTCTGAAAGAGGTGTGTTCATTCAGCCCTTCTTTCAGGCACAGGGATTTAATGAGGCTGTGCTGTGGGCCAGGCTCTGTGTTAGACCCTGTGATATAAGCTGATGAAACATGGCCCTCTTCCTGAAGTACAAAGTAAGAATAGAGATGTGGGCAGCTTCTCTTGGAACCTGGCTACGCACAGTGGGGTCTGCAGACCATGAGCATCAGCATCAACATCACCTCCGGGCTTGTTAGAAATGCAGAATCTCAGTCCCAGATGGATCGCCATCTCCATCCAGGATGGGTATCTGTCAAGCTCCTGGGTGATGCCAGTGCTGTTGGCCCATGGGCAAGGTCAAGCTGATGCTTTAGTGGATCCCCCATTACAGCAGTTGATGATTGAAGAGGCACTTTCTATGCTTCTAGGAAGCTGTCTTGAGACACATTGTCTAATATAGATATGACAGATACGTAACCTGCTCTGGGGCTCAGACCATCTGTCTGCACTCAAAGCATCTGGTATAGAATGTGTAAACAAATGAAAGCCAGATAGCCAAGAAGTGGACAGGTGGTGAGCGGACCTGGGTAGTTAGAAGGACAAGAGATACTTTCTGGGTACCCCGCATGCCTAATGCAGGTGCATTAGCAGTTAATCGTTCAGCACTTAGGAAGAGCCAGGACCTGGTTGAGGAAGAGATGTGGGATCTGTGTGTTTCACTGTTGGGTAGAGGGAGTGTGAGACGTTGACAGGACATGCTGGAAGGTATGAGGCCCACCATCATGGAGCTCTGGAGAGGAGTTGGGCTGGAGCTGTGCCGATACTGTCAGAGTAGACTTGGTAAAATATGTGAAGCTACAGGTGTGGGTCAGGTCATTTGGAGAGCACTCAGGATGAGGAGAAAAGAGCACTGAGCACAGTGCCCTGGGAAAGAAGAGCCCTCTGGCAGGCCTGAAAAGGGACACCAGGGTGGTAGTCAGCATGTTGTTTTGCAGAGTGACTCAGGATGGCTTGACTTTTACTTTATTTTTTAAAATTGTAAGGATGAGCCCAGCCAGTGTGGCTCGGTTGATTGAGCATTGTTCCATGCACCAGGAGGTCGCAGGTTCGATTTCCAGTCAGGGCACATGGCCGGATTGTGGGCTTGATCCCCAGGAGGGGGCGTGCACAAGGCAGCTGATTGATGTTTCTCTCTCATCAATGTTTCTCTCTCTCCCTTTCCCTTCCTCTCCCTGAAATCAATAAAAACGTATTTTAAAGAGGAACGTGTAAGGATGATCTTCTAATCAAGAGGTTTGTCGTTGTTGTTGATGAAGGTGATGGTTGCCTTCGTTTTTTATTGTTTGGTTGTTTCTAGCTTACCAGTTTCTTCTGTGCACATTTTTAAGGTCCTTAGAATCCTAGTGAGGGCCGTGATTAATGGGATGACTGATCGCAGCGGAGATGTCGCAACCGGCCTCAAAGGAAAGCTGCAGGAATTGTTTGGCAGAGTAACTTCAAGAGTGACAAATGACGGGGAAATCTGGAGGCTGTACGCCCAAGTATATGGGGATGGGCAGAGCGAGAAGCCTGAAGACAACGAAAAGGTGAGTCCTTCACGCCTGGCTCTTGTTTGGAGATATGTCTAGTGGATCTGCTTTTTTCATGGTTGGAGAAAATGTTTAATGATTTGTAAGATAAGATTAATACGCTCCAGTTTTGATTCAGTCTTTAGCATAAGCACTTTGAATTGTGGGCAGGTTAAGACTTGTAAGCATTCATCTTTTCTCTGTCCATGAATTTTTCTTATATAAATGTTCTCTGTTTCCTGCCAAAGGGTCTCTCTAAGCAGCTTCCCTACCTACCAGAGCTGTGGCAAACAGCTGGCTCATCATGTCCTCTGTACCCTTGCTGCAGGCTCATTGCTAAGGACTAAGGTAGATTGGGTACAAGGACAAAAGGGTGTTTAAATCTGCGATGGGGACTGTGAAAGGGAAAAAAGAGGAGGAATAGATAAGAATATGTGTTGGAGAAGAGCTTGGTGGAGGTTGCCCTGCTGTCTCACGGGCACCACTTACACTCCAGTTGTGCCTTTGGCCTCCTATCTTAGACCTTGCAGGGACCTCCAGAGTTTCCAAGTTTGGAACAATTGTGTTCTTCTCAAACAGCCACAACAAATCAAATGCGGTCCCACGTGAGTTTGGAATTAGCCACAGCACAGCTCATCTGTGGGATCCATAGCCACTCTCTCCTCCCTCGGCCTACACAGCCAGCTTCTCCCAGTGCCTGTCACCTGGAGAACACATACTCACACGTTCGCACCCACTTCTGCTGTCTGTCCTTCCCAGTCTCCTTGAATTCCCTGCTCCCTTGTCTATATGGAATTAAGGTTACTCTGAATTCTCTCATCTGTGACTTCTCCCTCAAGAATCAGGTTGTGAAAGAAGTGTCTTAAACTCTTGTGAGTTTTTTGTTTTGTTTTTTTACATGTCACTATTTTTATTGTTTGCTGCATGACTGACCTGTGAACTCAGAGTACCAGGATTTTGGTAGAAGTGTCAACTGAGGACTAGCTAGATCAGAGAGAACCCAAATTGAATATTTATCTCAAAGATTTAAAAAGACAACAAATTGTTTAAGTTAAATTAATGAAATATGTCAATGAATAAGAAATATGTAATTTTTCTAGAGTTTTTCTTTCAGTATAAAGATACATATCATGCACATTTGCACACATACATATATGGATGTACCAATATTAATATTAATTACCAAATACTAATTATTAAATACTATTACTAAGCTTATGCTGATTTTAAATTCCAGTTATAACTTTCAACTTAATGGGTCAAATTATGTGAATTCCTACATCCTCTCTGTCTCCCCTCTTTTAGTGTTTTTTTTTTTTAAATTTTCTTTAGTGATTAGGGTATTACATATGTGTTTTTATCGTCCCCCCAACCCCCTGCTTCTTGTGAGTTTTCACACCTCTCAATAATTCTGTAGTTTCACCAAGTTCACACCTCCTTCTCTTAGCTGGTCTCTTAAGCTAATGGCTACGAATGCTAAGGAAGTGTGTATACTCTTTGTAGACCTCCAAATTGGGCATTTGTAAATTTCTGTTTGAAGGGAAGTGTCTTGGTCCAGTGTCATGTGATGTCTTTTCATGCTGATTGCTGTTGGATGAGCATCTGTGCCCCTTCTTTGATGAGAGTGAGGGAGACTGTGCTGTGTCCCACAGGTGCTGGTTTTCAAGTTGCAGTTAGTTTCGTGTGACTTCCAGGGAATAGTTTGAAATGTGAATTCTGTTTGTTATTCTGAATTGTTGTTCTTTTTTCCTCAGGCGTTCAACTATCTCTCTAAGGCCTACAAGTGTGACACACAGTCCAGTGGCTGGGAGAAAGATATTGCATCATTTAAGGAACTGGTTCGGAGAGCCTTAGAACTTGCACATGGTATTGATGTAACGTTTGCCATCCATGGCATATTAGAATGTATTTTTACTGATAAGAGAAAGTAGTAGTCAAGAGTAAAGTGTCACTACAAATAGTTTCAAATTGTATTGAAATTGTTGTATTCAGCAAACATTTATAGACCAACTACTATGTAGTAGGTACTTGCGAGCAACAAGAAGACAGGATAGAGGCTTAAATTCCATTTGAATAAGTGACTGGTATTAGAAACTTTAGAGAGATGAAAAACCCTTACAATGGTAGTTAACCTTCAGGTCATAGTCTATTTGCATTGATATATAGTATTAAGGATATCTGTTAACCTTTCCTGACTCATACATAGTCTTCCTTTATAGATGAAAATATTTATTCATAAAATATATAGATTTCTGGAACTCAGAGCACTATACAAAGAGCTGTTGCATATATAAAAGAAATAAAAAGTATAACCAAATAGCCTTGAGAAATGTAATGGGTGATATTTGAGGGGAGAAGTAACCTTATATGTAAAGTTGTATACCTATGTGGTAAATATATTCCAGATAAAGGCTGTTTTTAATTATTTGCATTAGTAATTTGGTGATGCATTTTTATATTTATACTAGTAGCCCAGTGCACAGATTCGTGCACATTGAAAAGAAATTAATTAGAAAAAAAACAATAAAAACATGATATAAAAACATTGACAAAAACAATGACTGATAGATTAAACTTATTCTAATATCTCTCTGTATACCACATTAAGAGTAAAAACACTTTCAGAGTGCTTGACTAATTTCCCTTATGTTGAAGTATTTACAACTTTAACTTTAACGTCACACACTCTTCGAACTTGAGAGAAAGCAACATATAACTGACCATGTCCGAAAACGGGCTCAGGTAGGAATATTCCTACTCTGTCTAGAGTTTGTCCTTGTGATTCATTAACAGTCATTGCAAATGCTGGCATCATGGGAAACTGTCTTTGAATCGATTTAAATGGGAAGCCAATGTCAGATGCTGATTGTTGGTTTTCAGACATACCAGTATTCTGTTGCTGCTACCACTTTCTTTCAGCTTCTGAATGTCAACAAAAACAACCAAATTCACGATTGATAATGACAGATCTTAACATGCGTGTACGATTGGCGCCAATGAGAGCTTTATATGCGCGAGTCAGCATTTATTTTTAAATTGCCAGTGTGCATCATATGTACTGGCCGGTCGGGCGGACGGACATATGGTCGGTCACTTAGCCTTTTATAGATATAGATTTGATTATGAGTCTTTGATGCCCTGGGATTACAGTTCAAACCACAATGTTAAGAACTGAATCACGCCGAAACCGGTTTGGCTCAGTGGATAGAGCGTCGGCTTGCGGACTGAAAGGTCCCAGGTTCGATTCCGGTCAGGGGCATGTACCTGGGTTGCGGGCACATCCCCAGTGGGAGATGTGCAGGAGGCAGCTGATCGATGTTTCTCTCTCATCGATGTTTCTAACTCTCTATCTCTCTCCCTTCCTCTCTGTAAAAAAATCAATAAAATATATTAAAAAAAAAAAAAGAACTGAATCACAAGGACTGTGAACTCATCCTGAAGTCCTCTAAATTCTTCTGCAACTGATAGTTACAGCAAATGGGGAGCTGTGGTTCCATCCCAAGTGCAGGCACATCGGTTGTTGATATCAGTTCTCCCGGACGGGGGTGTAAACCCTGAGTGTGAAATCGCAGTAGGAACCGAGCTGTGAATCTCTCTCATGTCACTCCCTTGGGCTCGTATCATCAGCAGTGAGCCCTTGGGGAAGCCACACTGAGAGTATCATGTCTCTGGGGTGTGTGTGTGTGTGTGTGTGTGTGTGTGTGTGTGTGTGTGTCTGTTTCAGGGGGTCTCTTCCCAATGATCTGCAATTCACCAAAATTTACCTATTTTTCTCAAAATTCTCTTTTTACCAATAAGTTATCCTTCTCAAAGAAAGACAAAGGGGGGGATTATGCACATAATTATTATCCTTTTGCCAAATTAAAAACTTTCCATGAGAAATATTTCTCAAATCTGTCACTTTAAACTCTTAAGTAATTGTGAGGGTTTTTTGTTTTTGTTTTTTACCTGTGAATGATCAGCAGCAATTTTTATGGATGTTTCCCTGTGTTTTTCTTCCAGTGGCTGTGAAATGCAGTGAAAGCAAATCCAGTCCCCAAGAGGCTGTGCAGGTGCTTTCTTCAGCTCGGCTCAACTTACGGGGCCTGTCTTCTAAAGCAAAGGTGAGGTGGACGTGGGTTAACTCGGCTGTCCTACAGAGAAGGCTGCAGTATCAACCCGTGCTCTTAAATCTTCCTTTACATCAGGGCTAATTTTAGGCCCCCATTACATTTTTTATATTAGTTCCTAGGTAGTTAGTTACTTGTACTGATGAGGATTTTATTGGCCCAATGGCTAGACCACCCTAAGTGTGGCTTAGTTAGGGCTCTTAGAAATTAATACTTACAGTCCAGCTCTTAATGCTTTCTGTAAATTAAATCCCCTTAATGCTTCCTCTACATTAAATTAAAACAATGCTCTTCTTTTATTATCACTTTTCCCAAAGTGTGGCATATATGCCACTGGTAGTACTTGAGTAGCCTTAGGATTTTAATATATATTTATTTCAATGCATATTAGAAAAAGTATAACTGGCTTACACATCAGACTTACAGTTTCACGAAGATTATTTAGCCCAGCGGTCCTCAAACTAAGGCCTGCGGGCCACATGCAAATACAAATATTGTATTTGTTCCCATTTTGTTTTTTTACTTCAAAATAAGATATGTGCAGTGTGCATAGGAATTTGTTCATAGTTTTTTTTTTTAACTATAGTCCGGCCCTCCAACGGTCTGAGGGACAGTGAACTGGCCCCGTTTAAAAAGTTTGAAGACCCCTGATTTAGCCTATTTCTCATTTACAGTAATGCTACTAGTAAAATGTTTCCTTTGAAAAAGACTTACTATGTGAAAATTGATTTAGAGAAAAAATAGTAAGTAGGTTGTATGTGGATTTGACAAACATTGTTAAGGTAGAGAAGTGACTCAGGTTTGGCAACCTGTGGGCAGTGCTGGAGGAGGTGAGGAGCCTGCCAATCACGAGCTCCTGGCCCAGCAGGCACTAGAAGGGCAGCTGTGGAACCGGTGGACGTGCTGACGCACATAGGCTGCAGTGTGCTTGCCCAAGGCAGTTCCTTTTACAGGAGGGGGTGCATTCATCTTTATTTTATTTTTGCTGGGTCTTTTGTTATTACCAAATCTTGATCATCTTTGTGACCTCTCAGTCCTAAACTGTAATTAATTTTCAAGTAATTAGCCTAAAGGATCTGATTTATATGAATGTGAATTAAAATATATTTTTTGTTTGTGTACACAGTGAATAGGGTTGTTTTGTTTGGATGAACAATATCCCTTCATCCAAAAACCATCCTGTGACACTGAACTTACTAATCATATTCACGCAGCCATTATGAAGGGCAGCACTCATTTGAATTTACAAGTTCAGGCCCGTTGTGCTTCTTCCATTCATCCCTTAACTGTTGCAGCTTATACTTTTCCAGGGTGGTGAGCAGCACAAACACTGCCCTTGCTGCTATAATGTTGCCGTAGTATTATGCAAAGGAGTTTTAGTTCTGTACTCTGTCTATATTATTTTAAAGAGGATTTTCATTGTTTTGATAGTTCTGCTTTGTTCTTTATGCTGCAGCAACTTTTTACAGATGTGGCCAGTGGAGAAATTTCCGGGGATTTAGCTGAAGAAATAGCAGCTATGGACACCCTAGTACTAGACCTCCAAGACCTAAGCAACCAGTTTCGAAATCGGTACTGACTATCCTGGGAGTGGTTCTGGAAAAGGTGCTTTCGCCTTTGGGATGTTCTCTTACACCTGCGGATCTGAGACTGATTTTTACATAAAGTTCTCTTTTGTGGCTAACATTCTTGTTTTGTGATTATTCCAATATTTGAATTTCCTGAAGTACATTAAGTGAAAAGTCTCCTATTTTCCTTAGCTTAGTTGAATTCAGTATTTTTTATTATTCTTGAGGTATTTCAGCAGAAAGCAAAAAAATTATAATTTTCTTTTTTAACATAGGGCTTACTCTCAGCCTAAAATGAATTAGATCATTCTTTGGAAAAACTTGGTCTAAACAGGAAAAAAAATCACACACTACAAGTTTGTGGAATCATTAGATTGTCTGCTTTATTATCCAAAAGTGATAGAAGAGTCGATTTGGTGATGGAAACCTTTACACTTTTTGAGATTTTGTATGTGTGTCAGAAAAATTTATGTTTGGCTGAATTAGAAATGTGGGCATGGTTTAACTTCTCAATCCAGAAAACGCAAGAAAAAAATGACATAAGTCAACTTTTGTCTCAATCATTAGCCACTAGTAACCAGGCTGACCCTCCTTGGGTATACCGCCAGCCCTGAAGACGGTTGTTTAGTAAGGGTATTATGAGTGAAGACAGCTATAAACGGTGCCATGTTACAAAAATGCCAAAGTAAAATGCTTTCTTAGGAATGTCTATGGAAACAAGTATTGAAGGCAGCAGCTGAGCTTAATAATCTTACTAGAAAAGTCATAGTGAGGACTTCTAAGTCCTGGCTCGGGTTGTTGAATTCTGGGTACCATCATAAGTCATTTGACCCTTGCTTTTTTCTATGTTCTTTTTTATAAAATGTGAATAATTTCTATTCTTTGCATCTTTGTGAGTTTCGGCTGCCTTTGGGCATTTAAAAAAATCCATAATCCATAAATATAAGTATCCTGAACATTAAAAAAACAGTCTTTAAAAACTTTCATCAGCCAGTGTTGGTTGTGTTTACTAGTGCCTCCGTTCCTTCACCATCTGCTTCTCTTTTCTATTCTCATACTAGCCTAAAAAAAGGTCAACGTTTGTCCCAATGCTGTTTCTCTTACAGGAGACATAATAGTTATGAGAAAGGCCAAGAAAATAGGTAGTAGCATGAGTTATCATTACATGTTGACTCAGTCTTTTATGGAAGCCATTGGGGAATAGGTGGGTAAGTGGATGGATGGATGGAGCAAAGTTTTAAGGTGAACTCTTTATCAGTACCTAGTTGGGAACCCCAATAGAAAACAGATAAATACTAAAAAGTGCAAGTTCAGGAAACAGGTGATTGAAGAGGAGCTCCCAGGTATTAATTTTTAGCTCTCAGTTTATGTACCTTTGGGTTCTAGGTAGAAAGTCATCTGTGAGTATGAGTTATCACAAACCAAGTCACAAAAGGTTGTCCTCTTCCAGATTCTAGGCTGGACCAACGTCTCCAGGATGCCGACAGCCATGTACCCTCTTTTATCTCAAAATGATCTCACAAAGGAGAGACCGATTAGATGTCTTCTTTTTAACACATAAACTTATTAGTTACCTTTAATAATCTTATGTGAATGGTTAACAAAATGGAGGAAAATGTGGGGAGGTATTATGGTAAAGTAGGAGAAGCTTTGGTTTTTATCAAAACCTTGTCTCTACCACCTCATAAAACTTGGCACTCAGGTGCTTGATTTCTTCGTCTGTAGAGTGAGTGTGGTGGTAATAGTACCTTCCCTCAGGTTCTGAGTGTCTCTTACAGCACTTCACCCACGGTCCAGTCAGTAACTCCATGTCTGTGTGCACAGCTCTGTTTCACTTACTGTAGGGTCTGTGCTGCTTCATGTTGCCATATTATGATTTAAATATATGCCATTTCCAAATGCCTTATTTTTTATATGTTTCAACTTTTGTTTTCTAGTAGTAATACTTTTGTTTTCAAAATTACCTTTTTGCTTTGTCAACTAAGACATAGATGTGATTCTCTAGCCTTTTTTTTTCAGAGAGAAAGGGAGAGGGCAAGAGAGATAGAAACATCAATGATGAGAGAGAATCATTGATTGGCTGCCTCTTGAACACCCCTCACTGGGGATTGAGCCAGCAACCCAGGCATACGCCCTTGACTGGAATAGAACCTGGGACTCTTAAGTCCACAGGCTAATGCTCTATCCACTGAACCAAACCAGTTAGGGCTGATTCTCTAGTCTTTATGGTATTTCTAGCATGAATAATAATGCTAATAGCAGATGGCCAAGAGGCATATGAAAAAATCAAAGTCACTGACCATCAGAGAGATGCAAATTAAAACAACAATGAGGTATCCCTTCACACTTGTCAGAATGGCTACCATCAACAATTCAACAAATGACGAGTCTGGAAGGATATGGAGAAAAGGGAATCCTAGTACATTGCTGGTGGGAATGTAGACTAGTGCAGCCATTGTGGAAAACAGTATGTAGTTTCCTCAAAAAATTAAATATGGAACTTCCATTTGACCCAGTGATCCCTCTTTAGGGATATAGCCTAAGAAAGCTGAAATACCAATCAGAAAGAATGTATGCACCACTATGTTCATAGCAGCACAATTTACAATAGGTAAGATCTGGAAACAGCTCATCAGTAGATGAGCGGATAAAAAAGCTGTGGTACATTTATACCATAGAATACTATGCAGCAGTAAAAAAGAAGAATCTCTTACCCTTTGAGACAGTGTGGAGGGACCTGGACAG